GCTGCCTATTCTCTTCATCACCAGAACTACCCATATCAGCATCCAGACTTTCAGGCTGTGATAATGATGCTTTCTATCATTTTTGCAAATGCATCTCTACAGTCTAAATGGCAAAGTCCTCACTAGTTTGTAACAACGACAACATAGAGACGTAAAGCAGGAATAGGTAGAGGGCTGAATTTCCTCTTGCGCTCTCTTCTTCCTCTTGCTGTGCCTCATGTGGCAGAACTTCTCCGTTGTTGAACAGAGATTACTAGAAATAAATTCTTCTGAAGTAGACAGGGTTTTGTTCAGTTTTGACACTAGGCTTCCAGCCCAGTCTTGAGCAATCTGCACTGAGAAAGCTCTGTGCTTCTGTGGTATACTTCTTTTTTTGGAGACTTCTTGCCTGAGCCGGTTTGTAGTAAAGAGAACCATTTTCTGAAAGAACATGTTCCAGCCGACAATCTATATTATCAGTCTCATACTAGCATAGTCTCTGACAGTTCCATCAGATTAGGCTCTAGCTTTAGATCCATAGTAGATCATTCTTAGATTGGGCACATATATGTTTATTTCTTGATGTGTACTAGTTTTACAACAAATCGGAGATACTGTTTTCTCGTACTGCTTTCCTGCTAATCTTTCCTCTCTTTTTACAAAAATGGGTGAAAAAAATGGTGCGTCTATATAAACTCGCTGCAGAAGTCCTTTTCATCATATTTTGCCTTGTCTCTTTTCTTCCTCAAAAAGGAGGACATATGACTCTATGGCTTATCTTCTGGCACGGTCAGGATTTAATCATATGAAATCCAAGATTGCTCTGTGCTCTAAACTAGTCAGCATGTTGCTAATCATTTTGTAGACATGCAAGAGTCCAAATACTGTTGTGGGTTTCCCTGTTGCTTTTCCACTTTCTCTGCCCTTTTCACTTACGAGAAGACTGTGTCTATAATGTCTTTGTACATGTCTACAAACTGAGGCGCTTATTAGGATTAACATTTTTGACATACTGACACCACTCTAACATGTTTGTGAAGCATCTGGTGTAAATATCGTAAGTGCATTCTTCTCCTACTTTCTTAGTGACAATGGTAGACAATCCCTCCTGTCTATTAGTTAGAAGTTGTCATCACCTAGCACGCAAGTTCTGAGTATTTCTAACTAGTTCTCACCTGCTACAAATTTTTGTTGCACGCTTTGGTGAATTGTATGAATATTGTATAAGTGTGACTGTCACTACAATACACTCTTTATAGACCCTTCACTTCATTTGCAGTTAAAAAGAGAAGAATAAGGACTACTAACAGGTCTTGTGTTTCTTCCTCTAACTGTATGACATAAGTCCCAAAATGCAAATTCATGCGTTTGTATCCCATTTTGCAGAACGGCTAGGCTATGAACTCCTGGGCGGTAGCTTTCTTGTTCTTAGTTTCAGTCCCACCTAAGCTGCTTGCTTTTCCTCTTAATCTTGTTTTTCCCCACTGTTATTCCACCTGAAGCTACACATTCCGTTCTCTCTTCTTGACACTGCTGCATGTATTTTTCCCAGCTCTATGTAATGGCTAATATTTGTCTAGATTTAATCCATTATAATTTGCCATATTCATGAGGCTTAGACTCCTATTTTTAAACATCTTGATAATTTATTGTTTTTCCAGAGGTTTATATTTTCTTAAAGAATCCCTGAATGTACCAGCCAAATATCTTAAAAGCAACAAAGCATACAAAATAAATGAGGAAAGTCATAAAACAAAATGCTAGAAGATTCACAGCATAGCTGATTATTTGGTTTCACGGTATACTAAAAACCCTGTTGCTATGTTTAAACTTGGAAGCTCCCTTTTCGCTTAGAATGCCTAGGACACTAATGCTTACTTAGAATCGCTTTTCAATTCAAAATCCACTCCTCTTTTACCCAAAATGAAGACAGATGTTTTTTGAATCAACAGACTACACTTGGGTAGCCAGAAAGTATACCAGATGGGTATCCTTATCACTTACATGAAATTCTGTGTTGCTTCCATCAGGAAACGTAACAGTAGCGTATTTATTAGAAAGCCAGTCATGTTGAAGGCTTTTTTTGTTACTGCTCCCTATAAGCAATTACTACAACATGACAGAAGGTAACAGACCAGCATCTTCATTTTTTAGTACTTCACTACAAGCTGAGTATGAATAGCTGGGATGAATATCTATGAACGGTGAAGAAGTGCTTAGGTATGTAACAGAAAGGAAAAAACATATATACAATTATTTTTGTGTAAAGATGTTATTGGTCTTTTAAAACCTGCCTATTACTTATGTAGCCACAATATTGCTTAAACGATTTAATCAAAACAATTTTTGTGCAGAGAATGACATCTTTTATTAGACTAACTATATATAGTTGGAAAGAGTAGGCTAGTTTTTGAGAGTTTTATACCATGTCCTAAGTACTTTTTAAAATCCCAGCAGATAAAACTGCATGTATTAAAGAATATGTCTCTCTTCCCTCAGGTAAGCATAATGGCATTACCAAAATTAGGCCCTGTCAAGGGGAAAAAACAGAACAAAACAAACCAAAACAAAATGCAAGCCATTGAGAATGGCATTATGGAAAGCATACCTAAGCTTTAGATTCCTTACATGAAATCTGGCTAGTGCATCCTTTGCTATTCCTATCTAGTTCAGTGCAGCTAAGCTTTCATTCTCTGTCGCCTTCTGAGTTTGTTCAGCCCTCCCTCAGGTCTCTCCCCTTCATGCAATCAGTTAAAAGTCCCAACTCAGTCAGAATGGGGGCTTGAACCTGCCTTTCTCACATCCCAAGCCTTCCAGTCCTGAAGAAACTGAATCAGTGGGAACGGTCCTCACTACCTCATCCAAGCACTACATGCTGTGAAAAAGATGCCTATCCCCTGGAGAGGACGGGGAGTTGTGAATGTGATTCAGAGATAAATTCTTTTCTGTTACCTAGAGGAAGCCATGTTTGTCCCGGATGTTAGAGCACTCTCTTTTCTACATTTCTTATTGAACAGCTTATGCAGCTCTCTGCTTAGGATGCTGGTGTTTGTGAATCTCGCTCTTGGAGATTCCTATATGCTATACAGGGAGTCCTGGTACCTAAAGAGGCATCTTTCACTAGCAACTAGAAGCCTAACCAGTGTGTAAGTCACAGGCATTACTCACTGTCATTGTAGATTTCTTAGCCCTGTGTCTATAGCTGTAATTTCTGAGATCTGTGCCCGCGCTTTGTCTGACCAAGACTGTCAGTGTTTTTTACGTTTGCAATATCCATTTATCACTCGATTAGAAGAGTCAATTGGAGGCTGAGGAAAGCTTAAGCACAGGATATACCTTCAGCAAAAAGTGAGCATTGCAAAGTTTTTAAACAACAGCTCCCTCTTGTGTATTAAAGAAACAACAGAAAGCAGCTAAACAGAAGGCATCTTGTCTGCATAGGTCTGAACATGTGACCATGCAAATTTAGCAGAACTTGGGAAAAAATTAGAGCGTTGAACCATGCAATCTGGTTAGTGGAGACAACACAAAACGGAGCTCCTGGTGGTGGGTTGCTGAGCTCACAACTTAGCTCTGCTCCGGGCATATCTAGACATTTGTACTGGCAGGGTGGAAGCATATTGATGTAATGTAAAAATGTTTTGCAACATTTCCAGTCATGTGTATTTCACTTATTTGTCTTAAAAGGAAAAGAATATGGAAAGATACCATTCTTAAACAAAATATTCTAGCTCATTTGAACTTTTTACTTACATTTTAAAAAGAAATGTTGAAAATAAAAATACTACGTTTTCATGAATATAGACGCACAAACTCTTGTTGCCAATAACAAAGACTTGCGATTCTGCAACAGTGCACATGGTATGTTTGAGCAGGTAATAAAGATCACAATTTTCCCATTAATGTCTTTGCTTCTGATTCCTTAATGGCCTATTCCCTGTACTGCCGGAGCTCTGTACCTCTTCCTCTGTGAGGCTGTATGTGTGGAAATACAGTAAGTGATTAATTTTGTGTTTAGCAAATTTGCTTTTTATTGAAAACGTTTATTTAAATTTTGTTTTGTTTCCTCGGGGTGTTTTGTTTGGGTGTGTTTTGGTTTTTTGTTCAACTGTTAAGAGCATAGACAGTAGTGCACTGACTTTTTAGACATAAACAAACTCATTTATCGTTCACTGCAGTTTTGAAAACATGAGAACAGAGGTTAAAAAATGCACTGAACCGTAAAAGAAAGGATAAACTCAAGTGGTTTTAAGGTCTGGTGATTTTTTCCTCCACAGCATGACTTAGCAGAAATCACACAGAGCTGAAACTGTGTGAATAGTAACTATACTTGACTGCCCTTTGAGTGTTTTACGGATGCCAAAGTTGTTCAGGGCCAGCTCTTCAAGTATGAAGGACAGTGAAAATGAAGATGACTTTGTATTACCATCTGAACTGCTTATTTCAGTCATCTTCATCTAACAAAAACTGACCAGTGTGCTAGCAAGTAAATAAGAATTGAAATTAGTTAGACATCAGCCAAAGCCCAAAGTAAAGATTTTCAATGCTGAGATACTTCAAATGGTTAATGGTTAACCTATATCATGTTAGGTTGAGGCTGAGCAGAGCAGCAAGATATGTTTTACTTTAGCAAAACATACTAACGTATATGGAATGTACTTCAAGTGAGAGTTAAGGGATGATAGTGAAGTGGATTTTTAACTGTAATATGCATCTAGCTTTCTACATGTTCTATACATCCAGACTAAAGACTCTTATGAAAACATCTATCAAAATCTTCAGTAGGGAGGGTTGCCTGTTGAAGGACTGTAAAGGTGAAAACAGTTTTTCTGTTTTACTACTCAAACAAAAGGAAATGTTATTTCAGTGAAAAGGTCTCATTTTTATCTGCCTGTAATTATATCCGTAACGACAGCATCTAATAATGGCAAAAGATTGTCTCTGCCAACCACCTCAGGAGACAAGATTTGAAATTTGAATTTTGCCTCACCTAGTATGCAGAGAAAAAGAAATACACACACCTGATTCTCCTCTACTTTGCAGTTGTCTTCAGTCTTTTCACTCCGGCTTCCAGGTGCGCTCATGAACAAATGGATTGCTTGTACGACCATGGTTCATTAGCATTCCTGGGGAAAGCACATTTTAATTAATGCCTGTGCAAGAAATGCTTGCTGTTTGACGAAATTATTCACAGACAGAAAATGACACCATACATTTAAAAATTGAAGCCCAACCAATCTAACAGCAAAAGCAAATCTTTTTTTCCTAGTCTTTGAGAACTGTGTTCTAACTGTCCACAGAAAGTAAAAAAAAAAAAAGAAAATCTAGCTATGTACATATGCTTAATGTAGGTTGAAATTGAGAATTCCTCCTGCAAGTATTCTGTCATAAGAGAGAAAAAGAGAGAAAAACATTCTGCCAAGGAAGAACTAGGCTGAAAAACATA